GGCAACTGTAGTGCAGTGAATTACTTACTATGGCTCTTCTACCCATGATTTTTGTGACTTTCACTTTGTAAACGTGAGGTGTTTAGTCCCACCAAGGAGAGTAGTTAGCTTATTAATGATGCAAATAAGGTAAATGGCACTCTTGTGGGGGTGGGACCATGCAAATAATGTGCATGGAACCCTAATGTGGGGATTGGTCAGTTTGCCATCTCACTAGGCTTAAAATGAGTCCTCCCAGAGGTGGAAAGGGAAATCTCACTACCATCAAGACAGAGAAAGAGCCCTGTGCTGAGATGGCAGTGAGATGGCAGCAGAACCAAGAGACAGGCATGAGACAGAGCAGCAGGCTTTCTGGCCCATGGAGCAAGAAAGGTGTTCACCTTCAGGCAGAAGCCTTGCTGGCAGAGTGGAGGACCTCTTTAGGCACTTATTGGAAAAGATAAAAGAGTTTTCTAACACTGGCCTGGGCAGGGCAGAGGCTGAGGCCAGAGAGAAGCATGTCTGCAGCACAGCTGAAAGGACATCCTGATTGAAGAACTATATCCTGACTTGTTTTTCATCCTGAATTCTAAACTGTTACTTCTGTAATAAATCCCATAATCATGAGAATTGTCTGTGATTTCAGTGTGGCCTTTGCAATGAACTACAAAGCCAGCAGATAAGTAGAAAAGGCCATGGGAGGGATGCTTGGTGTCAGAAGTAGCAAGAAAAGAGAGAGGAATGGCAAGTCTGGCCTCTGCTTCATAGGAATCAACCTTGGGCTGTTGATCTTGGTCCTCTTCCCACCTTGAGATGTTAGAGGAAGTCAGATGCCACCCCCATATCCTTTTTACACAGCAACTAACAACAAAGGCATTATGGGTTAAATAAGTGGGCTAGCCAGGAAACTTGTAACCATTTAAAACACATTCTTCCTAAGGAAGGTCCCTGTACCTAGGGACCAGTGCAACTGGTTTCTGCTTGTCTACGAACCAAATGTTAGCAGTTACAATCCACCCAGCACTGCCAGAGAAGAAAAGCCTGAAGGTCTACTTCAATAAAGATTACAGTCAAGAAAACCCTATGGAAGAGTTCTACTCTGTAAAGCATGTGATCACCATGAGTTGATAAAAACTTGACAGCAACAGGCTTGCTATTTCTTGGTACTCCTAAGGAAAATCATGCCCAACCACACATTTGCAAATGGATCTTGGAAAAGCATCCATTGCTGAATTGGAGATTGGCTGTAATAGACATTTGCTCACCCCAGCGATTGGTGGATCACATTCTAAAATAAAAATGAGTGTAAAGGTATGAAGCCAAAGGTGCAAGGAGATGAGCAGGTAAAGATCAAGGAACTGCTGAGCTAAATGTTCACTTGAAAGTGGTTTTATCCGATTTCAACCATCAGGAGCATAAGGGTTGAAGGAAGTCTTGAAACTATTACTAGATACTCTGATCTACTTGTTAAGAAGTTACAGTTTCTAATTTTGGTACTCTTGACAGATCTACTGTGTAGGACATGTAGTAAAATACTTTAAAAAGAAAGGTTGGAACAAATGTAGGGAAAGTCTTTAACAAAGTGATAGTTGATGTAAATCCTGGGTCAAACACATAGTTTTGTTTGCACAGGAAGGAACTATCATGAGGATTAATCTCTGAAATGAGTTTTGTATATCTCCCAAAGGCAAAGCTCTTACTAACAGGATACCAAAAAAGACTCATACCTATTGCTATTGATTGATTCTGACTCATGGTGAGTTCATGTATCATAGAGTAGAACTGTTCCATAAAGTTTCCTTGGCTGTAATCTCTATGGAAGCAGGTTGCCAGGCCTTTCTTCCATGGTCCCACTGCATAGGTTTGAACCACCAATCTTTAGGTTAGTAGTCAAGCACAAACCATTTGTGCTACCCATGGACATCATTACTTGGGGAGAAACGAAATTCTGATCTACTAGACTGTTCCAAAAAAATTCAACATCTCCTCTACCAAGCAGACATCAGACTAGTATCTGATACTTTGGGAGGCTATCTACTTCCATAGAAACACCACCTTGGGAATCCAAAGAGGGGTCACTATGAGTTGGAACTGACTTGACAGCAGTGGTGTTTTTTTTTTTTTTTTTTTTTTTTTACTATTTTAGGATATATTGTTCTTTTATTTAGAAATGATCAATCTAAGAATAAATAAATAAATAAGGCAAAGAAGTGTTTTCCCTTGAGTTTTCATTTCAGTTTTCAAACACTGGACAAAAGTATTTTAATACCTAGACCCAATAGCAACTCGATGGAAGAAAGATGAGGCAATCTGCTTCCATAAAGATTTACAGACTTGGAAACTCAATGGGGGTTGTGATAAGTCAGAATCGACTCAATGGCAGTGAGTTTTGAGACTTTCATATTTGGACATAATCATCAAATTTATTTTCCACAAAAATTTTATCTTAATCCCTTGTAATTTTTTATCCAAATGCATACATTATAATTTATTACAATATGATATCGTCTAGAAAAAAAAAACTATGAAAAGCCATAAATATACAAAACTTAAGAGCACTATGTAACCCCACTCTTTATTTCAATAGTGTTTTAAATGATTTAACAAGAAAAACCTCCATCCTATGAAAAATATTTTGTAACGCTACAAGGAGTGAAACACTACTGTCATAAAATGGTAAACTTCCTTGCACATAAATCAAAGTTGTTTTATGAGCCAAAGTGAGCACTCTCATCAACAACAAATTCTCTCTCATAAGCTATGCCAAGAACCTCTACATCCCCTCCACCCCTTACACACACACTGACCTATACAGGGGGTCTCACTCTTCATGAGATGGCAGACTTTACTGAGAATACACTGCTGGAACTGGGCCCAGGAAATGCCTCTGTCTTCCCTAACTAGCCACCACTCATTTGTCAGTTTGTCATACTGTGGTGGTTTGTGTGTTGCTGTGAGGCAGGAGGCTATGCCACCGGTATTTTAAATACAAGCAAGGTCACCAACAGTGGACAGGTTTCAGCAGAGCTTCCAGACTAAGACAGACTCAGAAGAAAAAAGAAACCATCCACTTCTCCAAGAATTGGCTAGTGAAAACCTTATGAATAGCAGTGAAGCACTGTCTGATATAGTGCCGGAAGATGAGCCCCAAGGATCAGGAGGCACTCAAAATATGCCTGGGAAGGAGCTGCCTGCTCAGAGAGTCAACTTTAATGATGAAGATGGAGTAAAGCTTTCAGGACCCCCATTTGCCGATGTGGCATGACTCAAAATGAGGAGAAAGAGCTGCAAACATCCATTAGTAATCAGAACATGGAATGTACGAAGTATGAAACTAGGAAAATTGCAATTGTCAAAAATGAAATGGAATGCTTAAAGATTGATATCCTAGGCATTAGTGAGCTGAAATGGACTGGTTTTGGCCATTCTGAATCAGGCAACCATATAATCTACTATGCTGGGAATGACAAGTTGAAAAGGAATGGTGTGGCGTTTATTTTCACAAAGAATGTTTTAAAATCTATCCTAATGTGCAATGCTATCAGTGATAGGATAATGTCCATATGCCTACAAGTAAGACCAGTTACTGCTACTATAATTCAGAATTACCCACCAACCACTAAAGCTAAGGATGAGGAACTTGAAGACTTTTACCAACTCCTGCAGTATGAAATTAACCAAATGTGCAATCAAGATGTGTTAATTATCACTGGTGATTGGATGTAAAAGCTGGAAACAAAGAAGGATCACCAGTAGTTGGAAAATATAGCCTTGGTGATAGATATAACACTGGAGACCCATGACAAAATTTTGTAAGTCCTTACCAGGAAAGGTGGACCAAACATGAAAACAAGGAAACAAGGTATTTCAGTAAATGAAAAACCAAAAACATCCAACCAAACCGAAACTCATTGCCATTGAGTCAGATGCGACTCATAGAGAACCTTCCTTCAGTTTCCAAGGTGGTATCACTACGGAAGTAGATTGCCCAATCTTCCTTCTGAGGAGTGGCTGGTGGGTTTGAACCAACAGCCTTCTGGTTAGCAGTCAAATGCCTTAGGTGCTACACCGACAGTACATAGAAATGTCCAAAAAGGAAAAGGCCACGTGCCACCTGGAGAAGCAGGAGGACCATGACTATCTTACCAGAGGCCTTGGCAAACTGACCCCATGCTGGTTCCCTGCCTCCTAGCTTCAGAAATCAGACTCTGTCATTAGCAAGAGAAACCCGGCTTCTCTATTTTGGGACAGTCTTGCCTTATCAGTATTACATGCCTGAGCCCTGGTGGCATAGTGCCTGAGGCATTTGATTACTAACCAGAATGCTGGCGGTTCAAACCCACCAGCCACTCCTTAAAAGGAAGATTGGGCAATCTACTTCTGTAGTGATACCACCTCAGAAACCCAAGGAGGGGTCACCCTTGAGTCAGATCTGACTCGATGGCACTAAGTTTGGGTGTTTTTTGGGGGGACCAAAAATCAGAATGTGAGATTATAATTTGACAATGAGAAATACATCTGTTCCAGACATAAAATGTGTGTCTACATGATCAGGGAACTGTGTCTATGTGGAAACAGGCCTATGTGCACAATAAATCACAATCAGAAGGCTGTTTGGTGATTAGAGAACAGAAGGAATCAGCTGAATCTAGTGTTTAATGGAAAGAACTGAGGAAACCAGGTCCATCCATTGCCCTCTCAGGCACAGCCCTACTAGTAGGCCTGACACTCCACATCTGCTGTCCTAGGCTCCAACTCTACTTTTGGGTAATGTTAGGATGGACATTGTTTCTCACCTTTTCTATGCAGAAAGGACAGACCCTCCTGATGACAGCTATATTTTTCTTTAGACAGATTAAGAGGGCCTTGGTCTTTATATATCTCTGCTCTGCTCCATTATGTATTGACATTGAATCTTCTCTCTTGGGTAGCCATCTTTCTAAAACTTGTTTACCACATAATTTAATTTCTCAGGAGAGGGGAAATATCTTTCTCTGGTCCCCAAGGAATGGCAACAAGTCTCACCGAGGGACTAGGGCCAGGAAGACTGGAGAGTTCAGGGAAGGCTTTTGAAGAAAGATGAACTTGAGCTGGCTTTTGATAGATTCATAGGGCTTCAATAAACAGAGTGAAGTAAGGGAATTTAAGACAGGCAAAGACACAGAGAAAAGTAGAGATGAGCATGGTGCAATTGGGGTATGGTAAGGAAGCAGTTTGGCTGAGATGGAGGGCTGCTCTGCTTTGTCCGAAAAAGTAAATATGTAAATTAGGTTACATTGTAGAGTTGCATCAAGTTGTCAGCTTGTTCATACACTCTTTTAATATGCTAGCAGCTGCCTGTTAGGAAAGAAAGAAACCATGATATAATTTAATAAAATATGGGCAGAGCAAACTCCAAGAATAGGCTACTGATGCACAAATTTGGCTGCAATATTTTAACTGAGCCTATTTAGATAATGCCTTATACACTGGAGAAAATAAATGCTAAATAAATCTAATGAATCTACAAGATAACACTTTTATCTGTTCATCATGTCCTTTCTCTCCAGGTTGATCAATCACTCCTTAAGAGTGGCCATTTTATCTCTCTCATCATTTCAGCTAACAAGGAAAGAAATCAGTGACAGAATGAAAGTGACTGGTGACTCCATCAACCATTGTTGCCATGGTTTTGGGTTGAAGATATTTTTCTATCATGTCAACTGTAGCCTTCTTAATTTCTCAAAGGAGTCTAATAGCATGTAATCTTAGTTTCAACTCCACCAAGATCTCCAGGAAGTTGGGTGATTTTCCAACTTCCTGGAACACACTTTGCAATAAAAGAACAAAGCATGCTGCAGTCTTAGTGGTTAAAGAGAAATATCAGGTAGTACCCACATTTACTGAGTCAATTCTGACTCATAGAGACTCTGTAAAACAGAGAATAACTATCTCATAGGGTTTTCAAGGCAGTAACTCTCCCATGGAGGTGCTGGTAGGTAGGGAAGTGGCTTTAATTTCTAGCTTGCGGTTCTGAATCTATTATGAAGACAAGTTGTACTCTGGAAACTTGAATTCATTTTTGCCCTTATCTCAATAAGACAGAAAATTATAATCAAAATCATCACTGCAACAAAGACAGATATAACCAAGATGAGTTTGTTGTGATAGCCATATCCTGGAACTTCTTTTGTGAGCTAAAAAATAAAAACAGCAATATATATACATACACACACATATCTTTATTTTTTTTATTTTATTATATTTTTTAAGAACAAAGAGATGAAAGGGATAAAAAAGAACTATTCAGTTTCACAACCCAATTCTTCTGGGTTAATCTAGCTTATAGATTCATAAAGAACATACCAATCCAATAATATTACTGTGAAGCACTTTTGGTGTACAGTTTGTGTGTTATGTCTTCATCTCATCTATACCAGGAATAGTGACACTATTCTCTTAATGAGATAAGTGGGAAATGGTTTCTTAGCCAAAGTAACTTGGCTTTTTCCAAGATAAGATATGGAGTAGGAGCTTGGGCACTTGGAAGGCGTGTGCTGAATTCACATGGTAAAGTCTGGGCCCCATATTTCTCGAATTGTTCTCACCTCGTTTGACTCCTGCTTCTTTTGCTCACTCTGGAGTTTCATGCTCTCATTGATAGAGTTCTCAGTTTTCCATTGGTCTGGATCCCAGTCTGCCTTGGACACCTTAACATCTTGCTGCTCACTGAGAAGCTTCATCAGGAGGCCTGTTCTGGAGATCAGCTTGGCACAGGCCAGTTGTACGTAGGGCTCAGAGAGGTCCATTTTCCAAGTCTGGATGTCATGAGCAATGAGCTCATTGTTGGGGATGAAGGACCTTAGCTGCTGGGTTAGCTGAATTTCAAATTGATCACCCGGGGATGAGAGCAACAGGAGAGAGGAGCCTTCAGGCTTGGAGGTTAAGTCAGTACCTATGTCAGTACCCACTGTGTTTCATTAGTTTGGTTAACAGTTGGCATTAAGTTGTCTGCAATCACAGCATAACCTGCAGTGGAAGGGTCCTTATGGGCAATGGTTTCAGGACTAGTCTCATCTACCATGGAAGCATTGTATACAGTAGAGTTTTCTGCAGAAGGTTCTGCAAAAAGGAGTAATTCTGGAAAAGGATTTTCTGCAGAACCTAATCCTCCTGAAGACAAAAAAGCATCCCTTGGAGGGGAATTTTTGAGGCTCCTCATTGCAGAGAAAGGGAGTCTGTTTCTAAGCATTTGTTTATGATTTGAATCTTCCTTTTTGAACCTTCGACTCTTTTTGAACTTTGGTCTTCTGTGAACCACAGAGGGATGAGATTTATGAAAGTTATATTTTTTCCAGAATGTGATACTTTTTTATGAGCCTCTATATTTTTTGGGGGAGTAATCTATTTAATATTTTTTGAATTATGAGCATATGACTAAATTAGCAACACTTATTTCTATATGTTTGCTCAGGCGTCATTGCATAACAATTAGTATTATAATTGTCTTAGGCTGGGTTTTCCAGAGAAACAAAACCAATAAAGCATATAAATATATGTAAATTTATCTCAAGGAAATGACTCACACAAGAGACCAAGTCCATGAGTCAGACTTCAAGTTGGAGGCTTTTCCTGACTCATGAAGCTGCAGGGGCTGACAAACCCAAGATCAGCCAGTAGTATAGCAGGCTGCTGGCTTTGGAGCATGATGAATCCAAGATCAGCAGGTAAAATGGCAGATTGTTGGATCACAGGCTCCAAAGGCAATAATCCCAAGATCAGCAGGCAATATGGGAGGCCACTGGTACAAGTTCAGGAACCAGAAATGATGAGCTAGTTGCAGGATCAAGATCCAGGAGAAAAGCCAGAAAATTTTCCCAGGACATCCATGTATATATTAGAAGCAGGCCACACCCTGAGGAAATTCCTTTTCAACTGATGGGCTCCTTATAGCAGATACCATCATGGAGATGATTACATTATATCATATCATGAGGGATGACTACATCATAACTGCTAACCTCTGAGAACATGGCCCAGCCAAACTGACACAACCTTAATACAATAATCAAATGAAACATTTATTTTGACATTAATTTATGTATGTCATCATTATTATGCTACATACTAATTAAGTATTTGTACCTAATGCAAATGGAAGAAATGACAAAAAGGAGCTGAACAGAACATTTCAAAGAGCAGCTTGAGAAGACAAAGTCAATTATAATGAAATGAGCAAAGACCTGGAGTTAGAAAATCAAAAGGAAAGAACATGCTCAGCATTTCTCAATCTGAAAGAACTGAAGAAAAAGTACAAGCCTGGAGTTCCAATATTGGAAGATTCTATGGTTACAATACTGAATGATGCAGAAAACATCAAGAGAAGATGGAAGGAATACACAGAGTCACTGTAACAAAAAGAATAGTTTGGTTTTCATCCATTTCAGGAGGTGTCACATGATCGAGAACTGATGGTAATGAAGGAAGAAGTTGAAGCTGCACTGAAGGAATTGGTGAGAAACAAGGTTCCCAGAACTGATGGGATACCCATTGAGATGTTTCAACAAACAGATGCTGTGCTGGAGATACTTACTCAGCTACGCCAAGAAATTTGGAAGACAGCTACCTGGCCAACTGACTAGAAGAGATCCATATTTGTACCCATTCCAAAGGTGATCCCACAGAATGTGGAAATTATTGAACGGTATCATTAATATCACATGCAAGTAAAATCTTGCCGAAGATAGTTCAAAAACAGTTGCAGCAGTATATTGACAGAGAACTTCCAGAAATGCAAGCTGGATTCAGAAGAGGATATGAAACGAGGGATATCATAGCTGATTTCAGATGGATCTTGGCTGAAAGCAAAGAATACCAGAAAGGTGTTTACTTGTGTTTTATTTACTATGCAAAGGCATTCAACTTTGTGGATCATAACAAATTATGGATAACGTTGAGAAGAATGGGAATTCTAGAACATCTAATTGTGCTCATGAGGAATCTGTACATATACCAGGAGGCTGTTGTTCGAACAGAATAAGAGATACTGTGTGGTTTAAAATCAGGAAGGGAGTGTGTCAGAGTTGTATCCTTTCACCATATTTGGTCAATCTATGCTGAGCAAATAATCTGAGAAGTTGGACTATATGAAGGAGAATGTAGCAATCAGGATTGGAGGAAGACTCATTAACAACCTGTGATACGTAGATGACACAACCTTGCTTGCTGAAAGTGAAGATGACTTGAAGCACTTATTGATGAAGATTAAGGGCTACAGTCTGCAGTACGGATTATTACCCCTCAACATAAAGAGAACGAAAATCCTCACAACTGGACCAATAAGCAGCATGATGATAAATGGAGAGACAATTTAAGTTATCAAAGATTTCATATTGACTTGTTTCCACAATCAATGCCACTGGAAGCAGAAGTCAAGAAATCAGACATACTGCACTGGGCACATCTGCTGCAAAAGACTTCTTTAAAGTGCTGAAGAGCAAAGATGTTTCTTTGAAGACTAAGATACAACTAACCCAAGACTTGGTGTTTCCAGTTGCCTCGTATGCATGTGGAAGCTGGACAATGAATAAGGAAGACCAGAGAAGAGATGATTCTTTTGAGTTGTGGTATTGGTGAAGAATACTGAAAGTAGCATGGACTGCCAGAAGAACTAACAAATCAGCCCTGGGAGAAGTGCAGCTGGAATACTCCTTGGAAGCGAGAATGGCCAGACTTCGTCTCACCTACATTGGTCAAGTTGTTAGAAGGGATCATTCCCTGGAGAAGGATATCATGCTGGGTAAAGTGGAGGGTCAGTGAAAAAGGGAGAGGACCTTAACAAGATGGGTTGACACAAGAGGCTGCAACAATGGGCTCACGTACAGCAAGGATTGTAAGGCTGGCACAGGACTGGGCAGTGTTTCATTCTGTTGTACACAGGGTTGCTACGAGTCAGAGCTGACTCCTGACTCAATGGCCCCTAACAACAACAACAACCTCTCTTGTTTCTTTTTGAAGATAATCAATCTAGTTCACACCTTTAACTAGCTCTTTTTTAGTTCAGTTGGTTCTGTTGGGATGTCACCCATTTTGTTTCTTATTCGTGTTATTTGTATTCTCTCCCTCTTTTCCTTTGTTAAATTTACCAGTGGTTTGTCAATTTTATTGATCTTTTCCAAAAACCAACTTTTGGTCTTGTTGATTTTTTCTATAGACCTTCTATTTTTGGTTTAATTGATTTCTGCTTGAATCTTGATTATTTCCTTTCTTCTGGTGACTGTAGGCTTTTCTTGCTGTTCTTTCTGTAATTGTTGGAGATGTTGGTTTAAAGTGTTGATTTTGGCTCTTTCTTCTTTCTTGATGTGTGCATTTGTTGCTGTAAATTGGCCTCTGATCACTGCTTTTGCTGTGTCCCAAAGATTTTGGTATGTTGTGTTTTCATTCTCGTTTGATTCAAGGAATTTTCAAATTTCAATTTTGATTTCTTCCCTTACCCAGTCTTTCTCAAGGAGGGTGTTGCTCAGTTTCCATGTGTTTACTCTTTTCCTGTTGATCTTCCTATTGTTGATTTCTAATTTGATAGCACTATGATCTGAGAAGATGCTCTGCAGTATTTCAATGTTTTAAAGTTTATTAAGGCTTCCTTTATAGCTTAACATATGGTCTATCATGGAAAATGTTCCATATGCACTGGAGAAGAATGTATATTGTGTTGTTGTTGAGTGAAGTGCTCTGTAGATGTCTATAAGGCCAAGTTGGTGGATTGTATTGTTTAGCTCTTCCACATCTTTGTTGAGTTTCTTTCCTGTGCTATCTTTCAAAGAAAGTGGTGTATTAAA